GACAACACGAAGAGAAGCTGCATATCTGCAGATAAGGAACACAGTTCTGGGGTAATCTGTCTGAAAATTGGTTCTGCTTTGCAGGAAAGCTTAAATACAAATCTCTAGCTGTCAGTAGTTTTGTTTTCAAAGAGTGTGTTTTTGTTCAGACCATGGATCTTAAAACTTGCACTACTGTGATTCTATGCAGCTTAGTACATGGGATTTTCCAATTACTGTCTACAAACAAATGAAAACAAACCTCACTTCAAATTTCATTTACAGAAAAAGATCCCGAGATGTTTATACGACCTCCTCTTTTCTTACAATGGAAATCAGGGGGGTTTTGCTGTGCTGAAGACTGTTTCAAAGAAGCATGGCAATGTTACATAGAGGATTTAATGTAAATTAAAACTCTGGATGCAAAAGGCTCTGCTCTCCAGCAGAGGGACTTCCACAGTTTGCTTGAAACGTTTTCTTCTTTTGTGACAGACATGCTCAGTGCGCACATAGCCTGTGTGCCGCAGGGATATCTGAGCTCATCGATGGAATGGAATCCTTTGTTACCCTGAGGTGAAGATGTGGAGAACGATAGGAAAACATCACTGCACAGCAGTGACACCTGTGACTCCAAACCCTGCTTGCTTTGCACAGGTGAACGGTTTTGTTCGCTGGGAGGGTCCCCTGGCAGGACTGAGCATTTCCCACTGCAGGGTGAAACCCTTGACCTTGCCTGCTACAGAATTCTCAGGCACCAGCACGGAGCCTGCAGTAAAATGGGTGAGGAGTTATTTGCTGGGGTGTCTGTGGACTATGTTATTGTACTYTATAAACCTCACAAAGTGGTTAAATTCCACTGCTCTCTGTCCAGTTAGAAGACTACAAAAGACTGTTATTTGTTTCCATTTCCATATAAAGGCCAAACACAGGTGGATTTTTACTATCTCTAATGTTATTCACCCATTTCTTATCATTGAGACATAACTCGCTTTAATTTCTACACCATTTCTCGATTTGCTGTAAGCTTTTTGTGAGCACCAGAATACCTTTATAGAATGAGAATCACTTAGGTTGAAAAATGCGATTAACCCAGCCTGAAAAGCTCCCTATTAAATCATGCCCACAGGTRCCACATCTACATGTCTTTTAAATCCCTCCAAGGTGGTAGGATGGACTCATCCACTTCCCTGGGCAGCCTGTTGTGTTGCTTGACAACCCTTTCCATGCAGAAATTTCTCCTGATATCCTACACATGATATCCTRCTATGTGTGTTTAAGTGCTGTAGCAGGTCACAGACCATTTCCCCTCACATTCTGGGGGTGTCATTCTTCTCCCTGTGTCTGTCTGCCAGCTCGGGCTGCTACCTGGAGAACRGCTGCTCTTACTATTGAACACTGAGGCAAAGAAGGCATTAAGTACCTCAGCCTTTTCCTYATCCTTTGTCATTATGTGTCCCCCCATCCAAAACTGGACAGAGATTCTCTAAAGACTTCCTTTTGCTGCAAATGTATTTACAGAAGCAKTTTTTATTGYCTTTTATGGCAGTAGACAGGTTAAGTGCTAGTCAGGATTTGACCCTTCTAATTTTCTCCSTGCATAACYTCATGACACCTTTGCACTCCTGAGYTGCCTGTCCCTTCTTCCAACTTTCATAAACCCCTTTTTTCCTGAGTTCCAGCTAAAACTGTTCAAATATCTCTGAAACTGTTCAGAAGGCTGGTCATCTTCCCYGCTGGTTTGTCTTTTGGCACATGAGGATGGCCAGCTTTTGCACATTTAAGATTTCCTTCTTCTTTCCTTTCTTTACAAGACAATACATAATATCTAGAATACTTCTCTGCTACTTCCACTCCTCCCTTTAGGATATTTRTATTTAGATATGCATTTAGGAAATACAGCTATGTGCCACTTTTGTAGCTCAAAAAAAAATTTACGCTTCTGCCATATAACTGTTCCAAGCCCCCCACCTGACTTCCTCTGCTACTTCCTTAATTTCTTAAGCTTTGTCCTTTCACAATCAATAACTTCAGTTCCAAGATAAACTTACCTTTCAGTTTAAATTGAGACAATTTATCCAAGGTTGCTTCCTGCAACCAGCTCTTTCCAAATGCACTCACTATTTCCCAGAATTAAGGACAGRGAGCAGGCTCTCTGTCTGGCTTAGCATGTTGGTAAATGCTGGCTGCTACACTACTGAATTTTTAGTGTTCTTCGTCAGAGAGGAGCTACTTAATTAATCTCTGCTTATAAACCCTTTCTTCTTATTTTTAAATGATCCCTGTACTTCTTACCATCAATGTACCATGACTATTTTCTGTGAATACTAACAGATTAACCCTCAAAATTCCTACACTAATAAGCAAACAAGAAATAAGAAAATAAGGCAGAGGAGAGTTAAATGACAGTAGCTACATAATTATCCAATATATGATTGGAATTATACAAGTTTCCTTAGGTCGGATCTATTTTTAATTACTAAGCATAGTTACCACTTCTTTGAACGATTTTACTAAAAATGATGGGTTTTGAGAACTCAGCTTCCAATTTGTCTTTTTTTTTCCAAATTAAACATTTTGAAAACCATCAGTCTGGGATCCATGAAAATTTGAGAAAGCCAATGAAGAGTAATCTGCCCGTTCACAGACCTTGTATCYCTGTTTGAATGTTAGCTGTGCCCATCTGATCAACAAAGAGGTGGGTAACACWATGCATCTTCTTAATCTTTTGGAAAGTCTACCTGCTCATTATGATGTTGTTAAGTAAAGCAGTATCAATACAATCAATAGCCACAGCACACAAAAACAGATACCCTGTACACCATAATCTGTCAGATTAAGAATGGGCTAACAGCCCAGCTGTTGGAAACACATCTCACCCATCATACATTATTTGCCCATTAAAATACAATAGGTGTTGAAAGAACAATCAATGTTTGTATCTGCCATGGGGATAAGACTTCTGTCATTCCTCTGAAATCACGGTCAAATCCACACCTTTAAAAATTATGCTATCYTAGTAAATGGTAACATAATAGATGGCAGTCAGAGATTGTCAGCTTGAAGGGAAGACTTAAGGAGAAAAAGCTTTTTTCTAATTTTTCAGTACTAGTTTCTCTTGTTTTTCATGAASTCATGACCATACCATACATTATTCAATTAACAAGATCATCCTCCTGCAGTCACTTGAAAATTCCTCTTATCATTTTTGTTCCTTTCTTCTGTATGAATTGAGGTGGATTTTTCCCTCCACAGTTTCAGTGAACCCTGGCCGCAGCTTCTAAGAGGCTCATTATCTCTTCTATCACATCAGCTTCTGCTTTCAAGGCTTATTGTTTAGTTCTTAGAGTAAACTGACAGGCTAAAATCCCTTCAAAACACCCAAGGTGCCTTTGCCACTGAGTAAACAGCAAAGCATCACGCGTGCTCTAAGACCCATTTAATCAAAAAAATATACTACATGAACACTGGGACACTGAAAACCTTTGGAAGTACAATTACCCTAATTTCTTCCTTAGATGAAGGAACACTTGATGTGTTATTTAAATAGGCCGTCATTTTGAATCTCCATTATGGATTTGATTTGCTTAAGTAAAATATGCTTTAGAAAAGTGCAGGGTTCTCTTAGGCTTCATGTCTGGCAGGGCTCAGAAGAAACGTAATCAGTTCATACAGGTTACAGAATTGTAACCTGTACAGATTAGGTTATCCAATGCAACCTTCCCAACAAGTTGCTGGCTGTCTGGAATGAGTAAATCAACCTTACTCTTGAGGTCCTTGCTTTGGTCAGGACCTTACTGGGGCAGCTCACCAAGCTACAAACACAAATATGTAATTATTGCAAAGCACTTCTCAGGGAGATTTCCACTAAAACCTCACTGATATTCAATAGGATTTTGGGGACCAACTCCCTGAAAGGCAGATAAAATTTCTCCATTTAAATAGTGGTGCCTGTGTGTGCATACACATATGCATGTTCACATAAATACATCTGTGTTCCCATTTCCTTGTGCACACACACTCCACACATACACACCAGTGATGCGGTGCCGAGTGCTTTGACAGAAGCCATTCACGTGATGTTTAAGCAAAACCTCTTCTTTCAATTGCTACTCTCAGTTAGTTCTGTCAAACTAATAATACAGGTCTGTGCAACAAAATGTTACAATATCAGTATTAGCATATAAAATAAAGGTAAGTATAGGTTTCCCGTGTCTTTATTTCTTTTCCGTTTTCTATGGGAGAAATTTGCCAAACCCAAACACTTTCACTTTTTCCTATGTAGCAGTTTTGTTTCTGATGAGGGGAAAAAAAGTRTATCTGTTTAAGACAAAAGGAGATATTGCCCCTTTGATTTGGGGTTGTTCTTTGATTCCTAACAATATACAATAAATACAACTACAGTGGACTATTTAACAGTCCTGTAAGCATTACATGGTCTATAGCTGAAGAGAGTCCAGCTGCCTCAACTAAACAAAATCACTTGCTGTAAGAGCAGCTTTCAGGACAGTGATAAAYCACGGTGTAATACAATCATGCATTAAGCTCCAACCAAATGTGAGACTGGCACAAATATTAAAGTACAACTGGGCAGAAGTCAAGTATGTACAAGTCATTGACAAACATTGGTGTAAGTGCTCTAGACAAGACATTTAAAAGAAATTTACATAAAAACATAGATTAAATTTATCAAAGTTTGATAAATTTTAAGACAGTAAAAAAGTACAGAAAACATGAAAAAATAAAAAACCCAGCCAGTTCATACAGTACAGTTTTACTACATTTATATTACAGAATGAAGACAGAAAAAAGATACAAGGAATTAAGAGCAAAGAAATTTCTGCTGGCTGCGGCCAGCGGAGTTTCGTTGCCAATGAGAGATGCGCACACACAGATGCACGCACACACACAGAAAATAGACCAAAAAAAAAAAAAATTTACTGTAACAAACGACAGACAGAGAGGTGAGAACATTTGGCATGTTGCAGCACAYGGAGTCATTCCCGATTGGCTAACGATGGTACCTGGCTCGGCTGGAGGTCACCGGGCTGCCTGAGCGGCCCCACAGACGGAGGAGGCACTCCTGACGTGGACGCGGACCGGCCTAACCGGCAGCTTGCTTTAGACTCTGGAAAGGGAGAGAGCACAAACACCAGTGAAAAGGAGGAGTGTACTGCTGCAGCAAATGAAACACTGTAGGYCCAGGATCCCCTTGAAATGGAGACTCCAGCTTGGTTACGAGTTCAAGTCTTGGGGATTCTGCTGAACCATGAGCGGAAGCTGAGATCAGAAGAGCATTCAGACAGGACTCATGCCATGTCCTGGCATCTTTGCTCTCTGAATTATAGAGCATAAAACAGCAGGAAGGTAGAATACAAAAAAAAAATCCTGTTGCTCCTCTCCCCTGCTCCCCAGCACCTTTTCTACTTAGGAAATACAGCAATAATTAAGGGAGCTACAGAAGCTTCTGGTTTCATCTCTCCATCCCAGAGCTGAGGGACATGGCARCCCAAAGGGAAATAGGAAATGCCAGAAAATGAAGGGGGCAGTATATAAAAATGGTGAGGATACTGTCACACTTGGGCATTCAGAATGACACCAACAGTATCTGGGAATCTCATGTCAGTGGCAMTGAATTGAGAGACATAAAGCAGGAAGAAAGGAGGCAAAT